AGGATAAGTTATGATTTGGTGGTTCATGCTCTTTTATATATTTTTTCTTGTGATTCTATTTTTCTTATTTGAGGATGTTGCTTGGAGCAGGTAGGTGTAAAAACCAAGACAACTTAAGTGCAGGAAAAGTTAACAAATGTCATTGTAGTGGATGCAAATAGGAACTAGGTGGAGTGTTATTTCCAGATTGGCTAGTCCAGAAATAACAGGGTTGCAAATAAGAACTAGGTGAAGTGTTTCTCTAATGTTTATACTAGAAGATAAATTATGGAAATTAGGAATATCAAGTGAGTTTTATGCAACTTTGCTAGTACAATCATTGTGCTTCATACACGTAAAACATTATATTAGCTAATTGAAAGAAATATGGGAACTAATTGTATACCGTGGTGGTCAGCCCTTGTGATAAAGTGTTAACAAGCACCATACATTGAGTAGAAACTTCAATTTTGGTTCACTTAAAAAAACAAAACTTTTTATTTTCTCTTGATGGAAAACTATTGAGTGGAACTAAAATGATAGAGTAGATACATAGTTTGAACAGTTGGTATAATAATATATGTATCAGTGTAGGTATTACTTCACATTCACACGAAAATGAGATTCAGTGTTACTAAATGATATTTAGGGTAAATGTTTCAGTGTACATGTGGAATTGGAAATTTAATGCTGATTTCATTTACATTTTAATCATGATGGCATTAGGATGATAATGATGGTATGTTAGCATCTGTCTTATTAAGTAGTGATATTGCTCTGAGTGTTCCACTAGAATAAAAGGACTCATCGAGGAAAATTTTGATATTGCTCCAAGTTACAGTTATTAATACCAACTCATTTTATTTTACTTTTTCCCTTATCCACAGATTACATGAATATGATAGAACAACTATTCATGAAGTCATGGAGATGACATCTAGTAATGATGTATGATGTTTTCTTGCTCAAGAAAGAGATTGGTAGTTTATGTGAAAAACTTCAGTTCTTTTATTCAAGAAACTAATGTGTATGTTTTTTTTGCTCAAAAAAGAGTTTCGTAGTTTAAGTGAAAAAACTTTTGTTTTCTTGTTGAAGAAAGAGTTTCTTGAAAGTTTTTCTTGAAAGTTTTTTTGTTCAAGAAGAAGCATCAAGAAACAAGAAACTGTTCAAGAAACAGTTGTTCAAGAAATAAGTTTCTTGTTCAAGAAACGTTCAAGAAATAGGTTTTCTGAACAAGAAATTTTCTTGTTCGAGAAACCTGTTACTATTTCTTGTTCAAGAAACCTGTTTCTTGAACTGTTTGGTTTCTTATTTAAAAAACCCGTTTCTTGGTCAAGAAACAAGTTTTTTGTTCAAACTTGTTTCTGTTCAATAAACTTGTTTCTTGTTCAACAAACATGTTTCTTGTTCAACAAACATGTTTCTTGAACTATTTGGTTTGTTCAAGAAATTGTTTCTGCTTTGTTATTCTTGACGTATTTCTATTTATTTATTTATTTATTTGTATTCAAATATTGTGTTTTTAAAAAACTAAAAATGAAGATGGGAACTAATTTCAAGAGGTCAATATTTGACGAGCACGTGCAAGTTGAGCTTGTTGGGTGGGCACAGAAAGTGAATAAGAAGAAAGGTTTGAAGGCGGCGGCGGAAGGTGGATCCACCACCAAAGGTGGTGGTTCTTCGCTAGGAATTCAATTAACCGACAATACTCGCAAGGAAAGAGAGTCACAAGACTAGGTTTAAGCGGCTAATGGGTCCTAATTAGAACCAAATGAAAATGCAATATTTATCGCGTCATCTATGTATTTTCGAAAAGTGAAGTAACTTGTGTAGTGCTGGGTAAAAGTAAAACTCGTCCGGTGCTCTTTGAGTCGAGCACTTATGTTTCGGGCTCGCTTATGAGGAGAAATATTGCTTGGACTGACCAGAGATCAGACTCTAGAGCAAAGGGGTGTATTTATTGGCTGCTGAACTTTTTTTTTTTTTTTTTGCTCTTGTAATTTGACAATGTATGGAAAGTAATAACTAGTTGATGTTACCAAATTTATTATATAGATGTATTAGAATTCCGAAGTGATCCATACTTGTCTGCAGGTGCTCTGAGTTGGGCAATGTTT